CCCTAGCCGCCATGGACCAGAACCAGACACCATTGCTATTACAAACACCACAGAGATCAGTGCTCATTCTGAAAAACTTGTAATTAAAAGGGTTCAAATGAATAATGTTTCCTACTGTCTAATTTTTACAACAGCTACTCTATGATGTTGCCTGCCATGATCACCCTGTTCAACGCTGTCCTCCATGTACTCCCTCCCTCCTCTTCCCGTAGCACCCTAGCACCATCAGAAAACAACACTGGACTGAATTGCCACTTATACATGGGCTTTTTTCAATAAATATACTGGAAAACTTTTTGGAGATTTGCAATAATTTGTTTGGTATTTTTTTAAGTTCTACATTTTATTTTATTGATTGACTGATATTTTTAAGAAACAGCGTCTTATTATATTGCCCAGGCTGGAATTTAGTGGCTATGTACAGGCAAAATCATGGCACACTACAGCCTCAAACTCCTGGGCTCAAGCGATCCTCCTGCCTCAGCCTCCCAAGAAGCTGAGACTACAGGCATGCGCCACTACAGCCAGCAGATTTGTGATAGTTTGAAAAAACTCGCAGATGAACTGCGTAGCCTAAGAACATCGAAAAGATTAAGAAAAAGTTACATATGTTATGAATGCATAAAATATATGGTAATACAAGTCTATCATTTACTACCATAAAATATACAAAAAGCTATTATAAAGCTAAAATTTTATCACAAAACTTACACACTTACAGACCATACATGGCACCATTCAGTCAAGGGAAACGTAACCAAACGTAAAGATGCAGAATTATGTCATCACTACGTAAAATTAACACAGTACAGACTGTACTACTGTAATAGCTTCCTAGCCACCTCTTGTTGCTACTGTGGTGAGCTCAAATGTTCCAAGTGTCTGCTTAAAACCCCATGTGACAATCATCATGTCAGTTCATCTGTCGAGCAAGTTGCCCATCACAGTGAAAAGTGACCTCTCGTGGTTCTCATGGATTTTTCCCTGTGCTTAGTGCAATACTGTACATCTTGAACAACACCAGGGGACCCATAGGAAGTGTCATTAAAGATAATGAAAGTGCTTCCAAGAAGCAAGAAAAGTCATGACATTACAAGAAAAAGTTGAACTGCTTGAAATGTACCATAGATTGAGGTCTGCAGCTACAGTAACCCATCATTTCAGACAATTCATCTTATAAACATACAACTTAAACTGACGGTATTGATAAATAGAGTATAGTACTATAAATGTATTTTCTCTTCCTTATGATTTTCTTAATAACACTGTCCTTTCTCTAGCTTACTTTACTATAAGAATACAGTACATAATGCATATAACAAACAAAGTATTAATCAACTGTTTATGGTCTCCCGAAGGCTTCAGTCAACAGTAGGCTATTAGTAGTTAAGTTTTGGGGCTGTCAAAAGTCTTCAAGTCTTGAATCCCTCAAGGTCTAGGAGGGCAGGAATCAACTTCTCCCAAACTCCTGTTAATGTTGTATTTTGACATCCTCTGATGAATCATGAATGTTCTTAATGGCATCTAGAATGGTGAATCCTTTCCAGAAGGTTTGGAATTCACTTTGCCCAGATCCGTAAAAGGGATCACTCTCTATGGCAGCTCTAGCCGTACAAAGTGTATTTCTTAAATAATAAGACTTGAAAGTTGACATGACTCCTTGATCCAGGGGCTGCAGAATGATGTTGTGTCAGCAGCATGAGAACAACACTAATCTTGTACAGCTCCATCAGAGGTCTTGGATGACCGGGTGCACTGTCGATGAGCAGTAATACTTTGAAGGGAATCTTCTTTTCTGAGCAGTAGGTCTCAACAGTGGCCTTAAAATATTAAGTAAACCATGCTGTAAACAGATGTGCTTTGTTGTTCCATTTCTAGAGCACAGGCAGACTAGACTCAGCAAAATCCATAAGGGCCCCAGGATGTTCAAAATGGTCAATGAGCTCTGGCTTCAACTCCAAGTCGCCAGCCGCATTAGTCCCTAACAAGAGAGTCAGCTTACCCTTTGAAGCTTTGAAGTCAGGCACTGACTTCTCCTCTCTAGCTATCAAAGTCCTAGGTGGCATCTTCTTCCAATATAAGGCATTTCATCTACATTGAAAATCTATTGTTGAGTGTTACCACCTTCATCTATGATTAGCTAAATCCAGATAACCTGCTGCAGCTTCTACATCAGCACTTGCTGCTTCATCTCGCACTTTTATATTGTGGAGATGGCTTCTTTCCTTAAACCTCATAATTCAACCTCTGCTAGCTTTAAACTTCTGTTTTGCAACTTCCTCAGCTCTCTCAGCCCTCAGAGAATTGAGGAGAATCAGGGCCTTGCTCTGCAGTAGGCTTAGGCATAAGGAAATGTTGTGGCTGGCTTGATCTTGTATCTAGAGCACTAAAATTTTCTCTTTATCAGCAATAAGGTTTTTTTGCTTTCTTATCATTTGTGTGCTTACTGGAGTAACACTTTAGATTTCCTTCAAGAACTTTTCCTTTAGCAGTTTGGCACAAGAGACCTAGCTTTCAGCCTATTTCAGCTTTCGACATGTCGTCCTCACTAGGCTTAATCATTTCCAGCTTTTGATTTAAGGGGAGAGATGAGTGACTCTTCCTTTCATTTGACCACTGACAGGCCACTGTGGGGTTATTAACTGGTCTAATTTCCATACTGTTGTGTCTCAGCAATAGGAAGGCCCAAGGAAAGGGAAAGAGATGGGAGAATAGCTGGTCAGTGAAGTAGTCTGAACACACAACATTTATCAGTTAAGATCACAGTCTTATATGGGTGCAGTTCATCGTGCACCCATAGTGCAGTTAAAATAGTAACATCAAAGATCTCTGGGTGGGCGCAGTGGCTCATGCCTGTAATCCTAACACTTTGGGAGGCTGAGGCGGGAGGATTGCTGCAGATCAGGAGTTCAAGGCCAGCTTGACCAAGAGTGAGACCCTATCTCTACAAAAAATAGAAAAATTAGTGAAGTGTGGTGGCGCACACCTGTAGTCCCAGCCACTCGGGAGGCTGAGGTGGGAGGATGGCTTGAGCCCAAGAGCTGCAGGCTGCCGTGAGCTATGAGGGCACCAGTGCCCTCCAGCCTGGGTGAAAGAATAAGCCCCAGCTGCTGATCACAGATCACCATAACAGATAGGATAAGAATGAAAAAAGCTGAAATAGTACAAGAATCATTAACATCAAGATAGGACACAGAGATAAGTGAGCACATGCTACAGGAAAAAATGGCACCGACAGACTTGCTCAACACAGGGCTGCCACAAACCTTCAATTGTTTTTTAAAAAAAAGCAACATCTATGAAATGCAATAAAGTGAGGTATGCCTGTAATGTTTTAATGTTATTTAAAAACATTAGAGTAGAATCACTGTGGACCGCCACGCCCTCGCTCCTCAGGAGCGGCAGTGGTGCTGCAGCTGTCCCCCACACCTCAGACGGCCCGAAGCTCTGTGACACCAAAGGTGATGCGCGGACCACAAAGGTGCTAACGGCCCAGACAGACGGATGTCCCCTTGCAGTAAGACCGGGACTATACACACAAGCTAAACCTTTGGTTTAAGATAGGAGATTTTGCTGGGCACGTTTCAAAGCTATTCCTAAAATCTTACCAAAACATTTCTGAACATATTTGTGATCAACTTTACTCTAGAGGTCAAATATATTTCTCATTGATTTGACTAATGTTTGAATAATCATCCAATATTTATTGGAGCCTTTTTATTTGGCCTCATGAATTACAAGAACCTACAGTATATACAGTTCCTGAAAAAGCCAATATAAATTTAGGCTATATTAACAGAAATATATTGTTCTTTAAAAGTAACAGTATTGTTCTTTAAAAGTTGATATTGAGGCCGGGTGCAGTGGCTCACCCGGCCTGTAATCCTAGCACTCCGGGAGGCCAAGGCAGGCGGATTGTTTGAGCTCAGGAGTTCGAAACCAGCCTGAGCAAGAGCGAGACCCCGTCTCTACCAAAAATAGAAT